TATTAATTCGAACAATAGCACGATTTGCGTAGCAAATATATGATAAAATAAAGAATAATAAGTAGGTGACACACGTGCAACTTTTGTCCAACATTAATGTGAGAGAGAGAAAGAGAGAGAAAAAGACAAAATAAAGACTCATTGCACAATAAGAGCAAACTTTTTGAAACCATCATAAATTATTCTACCTTCTTACTACTAAAATAACTACGAAGTTTAATACTAGTCGTTTCTACTATGACAATATGTAAAAGAAAAAAAATATATGATATTCTGATGTTTTTTCCTTGTAGTATTATCATCATCAGATAGATATTGAATAATTAAATACAATAATAAATAATTTAACTATTTTATCATTCATATCCAATCGATCAAGACAAAAAAAAGAAAGAAAAAAAGCAAAAATGAAAAAAAAATATGTTGAATGATAGATATTGCTAAAACAGAACGTGAAAGAAAAAAAAGAGAAATGTATGAACTATAGAGATTACATAGAAAAGCAATTGGACTTATTATCCGACGGAATGTATATTTGTTTTTTGTTCATTTTATCATTGACGAAAAATTCGATCATTATGTAGCATTTTTTATTTGTTAAAATACATGTAAAATCTTTGCAGTTCCATCTAAATGAAAATAAAAAAATGAATAAAATTATTTTTTTTAAGTTTCTAGTTAGTTAGATACAAACTGTTCATTAACATCAATATCAGCTTTATGTATTAATTCGTGAACTTCTTCTGTAAGTTATTTATTCAATGAAAGCATAGGATGTTTCCGTTTAGTAACACTAATATAACCAATACCATATTTATCAAATACATGACATGTTTCATATATATCATCATCTATTTTCTTTATTATTTGTTTTTTTAAATTTTTAGCTACTTTGGCAAATATATCAAAGTCAATTGTATGACTAATTTGTTGTTGAATTTCTTGTAAATAGGTTTCTCATAGTGACAAAAAAACAGGAATGAAGAATAATACTTAAAATTGATAAAACTGTTGTCATTGTTTCATCAAAATAAAACAAACATTTTCATAGCAAGTTCTTAAGCTGCAATTATATATCCTTATGATCTTTATTAAAAGATGAAAATACTTTATGATATTGATGCATTTTATTGAAACCACTGGATCTTCTTTGAGTTTTTATTTTAATCAAATCAAAATAAACATGACATAATTCTAAATAGTGAATAAAGAAAAAGAAAAACAATGAATTATTTTTGCCTTATTGATTTCGATGATTATCTAAATATTGTAATTTATATAATACTATGATTTTCTTTTTCTTTTTTTGTCTTTTACTTATATGACTATATCAGGCTTCGAGTTCAACAATTGATGTCTGTATATTAATTAATTGTTTCTCAAAATCATCAAGTTTAAATAATATCTTCATAATCTAAGTGAATTTTTTCTATATAATTTACAAAAGCTTCACGTACGATACGTATATGCAATTATATCAATCGATTCTTTTAAATAACGAAAAGAAATTATTTCTCGATCCAGTTTTTTATTCAATTCGATAAGTTTATTTTTATCATTAACAATAAGTGATTCAACAGCAGTTACTAGACCAAAAAAAGAATATTATAATATGTTATTTTTGAAAATCCACAAACCATTATCTTCATTCGACATTGTTTTTTTTCAATTGATTTGCAGTTTTAGTTCGAATTTGATCAAGATGCGTTCTAACCTAATAATAAATAACGTTTTTTTCCTGAAGCATTCAACAAAAAAGAAAAATCATACACAAGTGTTGTAATAATTTGTTCGAACAGCCATTGTTAAATTAGTACATGATTCACTTGTTTTATCATTAAAGAAAAACAACCAAATTAATGTATGTTAAAAAAGAGAATTCGATTTTTACATATTTCAATGATAATTACATTATGACGTATTTGCTTTGTTAATCATAGTATATTGTTCTTTACATTTGTCAATAATTTGAGAATATAAACTAAGCTAATTTAAAAGAAATAACAGATTTATCTGATTTGTTTTTTTAATAAATAAAATGCATTCATAACGTACAATATAAAATTTAAGAAAAAAAATAATTTTAGTCTTTTGTTTTTAAAACTCTACTCTACTAAAATATCTTATAAGCAAGATCTTTAAAAGATAATTCGTTTATGTATATCTTGATCGTATCAGATAAATCTGTATCTAAACTTTTGGCAAGATCTGTTCCAGAATTTTCACATGTCAAGATCATGAAAAAGATACTAGTTTTTATTATTTTTTCCCAAGATCTTGACTAAAACAAAAAGCGACTTCATTAATTTATTTACATATTTAAAAATTCTTTAATTGCTTGAAACTATTTTCCAAAACTCAATCATATAAACTTGTGAATCTCATAGATGTACGAGGAATTAGCAACGGTGGGAGCGCTTGCCAACCAATAAAATTAAAGTTATGAAAAATAAAGACGGAAGAAGAAATCATTCATAGAGAATTTGTAAAGTTTGAACAGAGGTTTTTAGACTAATCTGGTTTGTATTCATGGCAGATTGGTGCTTAATAACCAGATGGTTGATGTTAGGTTAATATACAAGATAATTTAAAATTCAAAATTTTTAAAATCAATTTTTTTTGGAAAACGATAAAGTAAAAGACCTTTTAGATTTTAGTGTTAATCAAATCTCAAATTTAGATAGATTCTCTGACTTCTTTCTTCCTATAGTAAATTTTTGTAGAACACTATATAAGACAAAAATGCTGCAGTTATTTTACATACACAAACATCGATTTAATGTCATCATGACCATTTGATGTCATTAAATAAAAATTACAATCAAATGGCAATATAGAATTGATAAAAAATATTGTATGTTCTCTCAAAGATGATAAGCATGATATTCAAGAACAAGTATTAAAAACACAGAAATTCATTGGTTTAAAAGAATTAGACGCAAATATTAGTAAGAGCAGAGAATAACAAATTTTTTCGCTGTAGTCTTTCTTTATTTAAATTAGAATAAATAGACATACTTTGAACCTATAAAAATTGCTCATGTGAACCATAAAACTTCTTGCGCTAAATGTTCAGATACATATTTCTCACTGTTAAACATAGATTAAACAGCAAAGTTTTAACTGAAGATCTAGAAAGCCTTGATTATTAGTATGACGGATGTAATTGCTTGAGGCAAAGATCAATAAAAGTGATCATAAAAGACCAGATATCAAACTAAAGATATTTTATACGTGTACCCAAGATCTTATAGATTTATACGCAAGATCTTACAGATCTGAGCTTAAGATCTTACGAATATATAGTCAAGATCTTGCTTACAAGATGTCCGACTAGAGTAACCATACAGTGTGTTCTAAAAGTCCCTTCCTAAAAGTTTTTTCGTTTCATTTCACTATTGACTGGACTTCATGGACTAATTTGTTTTTGGATAATAGATAAATGCGCAAAGTTTTTATTTCTAAAGACCAGTTTCAGAAGCATTGTCGAAAGTTATGACATTTAGCCTGAAATACAAAAAATTTAGCCTGTTCTCTCTTTCCAGAAATACTCATTGATGATATGTGTTCTAATTGCTTGAATTTTGAAATGGTACTACTCATTTTGTTTTTGTAAAGACATACCGGAAAAAGTTCTGTAAAAAGATTATTCCAGTATTGGACAATTTAAAGATTCGAATTACTCAACAACTCGAAGTTATTAAAAAAGAAGTGCAATCTAATGCTTTTCTAGAAAAAGAAAACAGACTAAATTTTAGGCTCTATATGAGTATCCGGGCGTAGTTTTATCTTCAATGGCTATACTCTTTATTGTCTTCTCTGTTTTTGTCATTCGGAGCAGTCAATAAAAAGTATAGTTATTGAAGATAAAATTACGTCCGTATATTTATATAGAGCCAAATTTTAGTATTTCGGCTAAATTTCTTAATTTTCAACAATGCTTTTGAAAGGACGGGGGGCGATTTCTACAGAAATCGGCCCAATTGAATTTTAATGATCTGCTCGGGTAGAAACAAAGGAAATAATGGTAGAAAGTATACCTTATGGTTTTCAAATGATTTTGCTAGGTATTTACAAGTCCACGATCCGATCACTTCTTCAATTTTCTGTGTATACATTGGAGCGTCTTTTGGTTGTCAAATTTTACATATATGTACTTGTTACTTAATTCAAACCAAATGAATTATATATCAGTAGATAGGGCGTGAAAAATACTTCAAAATCCTATATGATAAATTGTTTATCAAAAATGTAGAAAAATAATTTCTTGCCAAAATACTTGTTGAATACCGTTCAATTACTGCGTCGGTGTCCAGTATAAACCATCCTATGCGCTGAGTTAGAGTTTCCCCACTATGATTTTTATACCATTCGATAGAGTTTTTCATGGGCTGCAAATCCATGTATAATTTGTTTGCAAATAAAGCTGCGAACATCTCTCAAGTCCAGATTGTTTTGTTTAGATCAGCAAAAATGGTATTTTTTGGCCGGTATTTTGAACGGTTTTGGTCATAATCATTACTGTTTTAGCCAAAACAAATGACATACTCAGAATCACCAGAAAAAATGGGGTCGATGTATGTATGTTCCAAACATTCCTGGTGACTTTTATTTTCGGTCAAAACCTCAGCCCTGGTGCCCCTCAGGGCTTCCTCAAGAAATAAGTCGAAAAATAAAAGTCATCAGGAAAGTTTGGAACATACATACATCGACCCTATTATTTATGGTGATTCTGAATATGCCATTTGTTTTGGCTAAAAAAGTAATGATTATGACCAAAATCGCTGAATACCGGTCAAAAAATGCCATTTTTGCTGATCTAAACAAAACAATCTGGACTTGAGAGATGTTCGCAGCTTTATTTGCAAACAAATTATGCATGGATTTGTAGCCCATGAAAAACTCTATCGAATGGTATAAAATTCATAGTGGGGAAACCAAGGGGGAAAAAGCTCATTCGGGCATTCCCGGCCATTCGGAATGGCCGGGAATGGTTGGGAATGATTGGGAATGGATGGGAATGGATGGGAATGGATGAGAATGATTGGGAATGGATGGGAATGGATGAGAATGATTGGGAATGGATGGGAATGGATGGGAATGGTTGGCAATGGATGGGAATGGATGGGAATGCTTGGCAATGGATGGGAATGGATGGGAATGGTTGCGAATGGATGGGAATGGATGAGAATGATCAGGAGTAATTTGAAATAGATGAAAATGATTTCATACGTTAGCAAGATGATTATATTGGTGTTCGAAATATTTTAAGTTACAGTATTTGCTGGAAATAATTAAAACATTCTCAAATGCATCTTCAAATTTGGGGTCTTGAATATCAGTGTCTTTTCTTGAGATAAATGAACGCGTGTTATATTGATACGTATTTCAATCGATATTTGTTATCGTGATATTCAGGAAACTGCGTTTTTAGATGGAACTAGTTTAGTAATTATTTTACAAAAATATGGGAAATGCAAATTCGTCTCAGAAAGATATCCTTTCACGTGATATCTGTTATAACTATGATAAGTAACTATATGATCGGAGTTATCCGAAAAGCAAGTCGCAACACAAAGCAAAATAGATAGATATATAATTTGGTTGTCACATGCATCAAAAGATTCCACTAATGATAGTGAATAATCTCAAAAACACAAACAATTTTTTTTAGCAATATGATTACATAAATAGCACCACTTTTGAATATCTATTATCTTTCGCTATGGCTATAGTTACTATTTGAAAAGAAAAAGATTAAAAAAAACGTATACAATTGATTACCGATTAACAAGGCGTAGCTTTTAACATACTTTCAATTATGTGAAAACTGCACATACTATAAAGGAAAATAGGAGAAGACGCACAATCGTTCTTTATACCATATATGGCATACATTTATATGTTAGATTTGGTAAATGCGATTTTATCATTCTCTAAACAGTGTTTTTATTTATATATATGTAGAGAAAATACTATTTTCAATAAATATTTAATAGGCAATAGATTAAAATTATATTGTTAATTAGATAAATCCTTTAGTTTTTCGAACGTCGCTCACAACGAAATTATCTGGTTACGCCAGTGATCATTTAATGTCATATATGGAAATTGTTGTTTGAGTATCCAATGCAATTAGTTTGATATTTTTACATAAACAAGTTTGACTACTTAGGGTTTTTAGTTATTTTCATCTATATTCTTTCTACGTAAACATTATTTCAGATATGGATAACAATGGTTTTGTTGAAATTAGCAAAATTAAATCTGATGCTTTTTTCGATCTCATAGAAAGCATGTCTAGTGAAATTGAAGTTGAAATTTTAAAAGCGCAAGGAATCAATAATGTTCTTTCTTTATTAAGAGCACAAGATTTGTATTCATTCTTTAGACTTGATTGTGAGGAACTAGAAGATTTAAGAAATCGTGCATGTTTAAAGTTAAAAAATGGTGAATATATGATACGACCAGCCATAAAAGATAATCTTGATTATTGCATAGCTGTATTAAAAGGCAAATTACATGAACAGTTACCATATCGATCAGAAAATCATAATTCAAGTTCAAATGATTCGAATGAACAACCTAATTACTTCATCAACACATTCATCAGTAGTCTTAATGATAATATGAATCGCTCTAAATACCGTTATCAATACAATTCAATGATGCGACGGTTTGCGTCTAGTGTGTATGCATTAGGTGGTCGAAATGTTTATCAGTTCTTACGTTTGAACATTCCAGGAGCATTTCCATCTATTCCAACATTAGAATCTTATCATAATGAATTTTCTACACGTATTGAAGAAAGTGAATATCGTTTTGATGGGTTGGTTAGTTATTCAAATAAAATTAATTGCTCTTATATATATATTTCCGAAGATTGTACTAGCGTAATCAGCAAAGTCAATTATGATGTTACAACTAATTCATTTATTGGTTTTTGTCCTGAATTGAAGAATGGTTTATCATCAATTCGTCAGTACCAAACCGATGATTTTTATGAATTAGAAGAATGGTTTCAGACAGTAAAACAATCAACTCTAGTAAATATCTATACTGTTCAACCTATCACACATGAAGCAGCAGCTCCGTTTCTATTATCTTGTTTTGGTACCGATAATCAAATTGTTTCAATATCTATACTTTTTCGTTGGTTGTATATATATGACAAATGTCATACTAATAATATTAAAGTTGTTGGTTTTTCGAGCGATGCTGATCCTAGATTTGTTAAAGCTATGAGATTAGCAACAGGTTAGATTGATTATAGAAATAATATTCTAATTTTGTAACAAATGCTTTTGATTTTTAAGGCTATTTTTCACAATTACCAAATATAAATATATTGGATAGAGAGGATATTTTCGAAATACAAATTCCAGATTCATGGATATGGTTTTATATGCGCTCAAAGCAGTTATTTTTGTGTTTTCAAGATAGCATACATTTAGCAACCAAATTGAGAAATAGATTGTTATCGAAAACTGCTTCATTGCTTATGGGTACTTATGAGGTTTCAGTAAATGATCTTCAAAATCTGATAAATAATTATTCAAAGTTCGAACATAATATGGTTTTATCAGATATATATGTAAAAGACCGACAAAACTATGCCTCTTGTTTAAAAATTTCTTCTACCAACGTTTTATATATGTTAAATCAAAATAAAAGTACATCTGTCACACATTGCTATTTAACAATATTACATTTTGTTACTCTTGCTTATATTGACAAGTCAACAAATATTGTCAGTAGATTATTTTATGCGTGGTCGATAGTCTTTATTTGTAGATTTTGGTTGACGTGGTTAAAATTTAAATTGATAAATCATACAAAAACAACAGGTCGACATGTTCGAATGCCGTCTTTAAAAGAAATACAAAAACATTTTATTACATTTGCTGCATTCCATTCGATTGAATTAAATGCTCATATGCTAACCTTTATTATATTATTAGTTTTAAATAAAAAACTACCTATTGAATCATTAAAAATATTCTTATTTAGCTCACAGCCATGTGAGAATATGTTCCGCAGCGCTAGAGCTTTAACCGGGTCATTTTCAACTATGACTAATTTTACCATTCAACAATTTCTTTCTAAAACAAGAAAAATTTCAATATTGAATGAGATTAAATGTTTTGAAGAATCTAGTACTGATTCCAATGCTATTAAATTTCCTACACACCATAAACAAAATCAGAACAATTCATTTTCATCAACATCAACAAGTATGGATGGAATTACAATGACTAATATCGAGCAAACTATTTATGATGCATATGAACATGCAAAATCATTTATTGAAAAATTAGAAATGTTACCGCTTTTGGTGAAAAATCAAGTGTTTGAATTAAATAGTTTATGTATACATATTCGTGATTATTTAAAAAATATGATTTATATAAATGATTATTCTGTATTAAATGACGATGATCTTGAATTTGATAGTGATTCAGATGAGGAAATTAATAAGGATTTATCAACAACGCATGAAAATAGTGAAAGTGAATGTGAAGATTCAGATAATGAACCTGAAACAAAATCAACGAAAGATAATTATAATGGAATGCGAATTTATTCGTCAGTAGCTGATAAAAATAAAAAGAAATTTTTCAAAATGGAAATTAATGGAAAACAAAAATACATTCACAAGCAAACGGCAGCTTGGTATTTAACTAACAAAAACAATCGGTTGTCGTCAGATCGTACAGTTCGTGTTCAACAAGCAAACAAACAGTAATAAAGTTTTTTTGCTTTAATGATTTTCAAATAGAACGTATTCTATTTCCTTTCTATAACATAACTTCCGTGTGTTAGTCATGTAGGCGACTTAAGTCACATTTTCTATGTTCAGTTTACATTTGTTTTTTTTTCTCTAATTTTGGGAAAACTATTTGTTTTTTTTCAGAATAAACTTGATGACGTTTTTGAATTTCTTAGGACAACGGAGCTGTAGAAAATTCCTCTGTATGCTGAACCATATTTTGGTTCGTTTAGATTCAAAATGATGCTGATGGCTTTCGTCTGAGAGTTCTACACGCTCAAAAAAACATCGTTTATTCTTTATTCAAAAAAAGCCATCCATTTTGGTTTTGCATAAGCATTATTAATAAAAAGCCTTGTCAAATATGCCGATTCATATACACTACTTATAGGACGATATAATGTTTCCTTTATAATTACTGCTTAAAATAGGAGGGAAAGATCTGAAATAATTGAACATTATGCACATTAGCTACTGACAGTCACTATCTTTTATTAGATTATAGCATATTTCGATATATAACAGAATCAAAACTGATTTTTTCCCATATACTATACTTGATATAGCATTAGCAAGATTCTGTTTAGTATTATCAGCGTAAAGTATCCATAATTTTCAAGTTTTTAGTGTTTTTTAAATAGTGTGAAAAAGCGTCCATTACATATGGTTAGACCAGCGTTTTTTGAAAATGATTCAAAATGTCCGAATGAGCTTCATCTGCATCTGAAAATCTCTTATGTGTTTCCAAGTGTCCTTAGTATAATGTTCGGCTAAAGTAAATTTATTGATTCTCATATCGATTGATACTGCTACTTGTATACTAAATAATAAATTACGTCAAAATTTATCTAAATTAGTTTAATAACAAAATAATTATTTCGGGAGCAAAACTAGCTTTAAGATGCCAGTACAGTAATTTGTAAGAATTCTGAATATATATCAATAATTCAGAATCAATACGAATAGATGGGAATGAATGCGAATGGCTGGGAATGGATAGGAATGGCTGGGAATGGATGCGAATAGTTGCGAATGAATGTGAATGGATGCAAATGGTTGCGAATGAATGCGAATGGTTGCGAATGGATGCGAATGGCTGCGAATAGATGCGAATGGCTGCGAATAGATGCGAATGGATGGGAATGGCCGGGAATAGATGCGAATGGCTGGGAATGTCCGAATGAGATTTTTCCCCCTTGGGGGAAACTCTAACTCAGCGCATAGGATGGTTTATACTGAACACCAACGCAGTAATTGAACGGTATTCAACAAGTATTTCGGCAAGAAATTATTTTTCTACATTTTTGATAAACGATTTGTCATATAGGATTTTGAAGTATTTTTCACGCCCTATCTACTAATATATAATTCATTTGGTTTGAATTAAGTAACAAGTACATATATGTAAAACTTGACAACCAAAAGATGCTCCACTGTATACACAGAAAATTGAAGAAGTGATCGGATCCTGAACTTGTAAATACCTAGCAAAATCATTTGAAAACCATAAGGTATACTTTCTACCATGATTTCCTTTGTTTCTACGCGAGCAGATCATGAAAATTCAATTGGGCCGATTTCTGTAGAAATCGCCCCCCGTCCTTTATTTATTTTTTTAAATCTAGCGGAATTTCGATGTGGAAATGGTCGTTGTATACCATATTCTTGGGTATGTGATGGTCAACGAGATTGTATAAATGGTACTGATGAACCAGCTGATTGTCGTTCATCAAATCGAACATGTCCAGCTGGTCTTTGGAAATGTGATAATGGTCGATGTATTAGTCCACAACAGCGATGTAATGGTATTGATGATTGCCGGTAAATAAAACTCACTCGAAATTGTTTTCGAAAATAATTCTTTGTTTCTTTTTTTTGTTTGTGTGTAGAGATGGAAGCGATGAAGATGAACGGCATAATTGTGGTTTGTATCATATTGAATAATTCTTAGAAAAAAAGAAAAATGGTTGATTTTGTTTTGTTCATAGCTGAAATGCCTTGTAGTTCAACACAATTTCGTTGTCCATCAGGCTTAAAATATAATTCACGTTTAAGATGTCTTGATTTATCAGCTGTTTGTAATCGAGTTGCAAATTGTATGCGTGGAGAAGATGAAGCTAATTGTACAAGACGTAATTGTTCATCATATCAGTATGTAGAAATTTTATATAGATAAACATATACATTTAGCAATGTTTTATCTTTTTAGATTTCAATGTAATAATGGTCTTTGTGTACCACTTTCGTATGTTTGTGGTAAGTGATATTCTATTTAAATGATTCTATATTGTAATTTGTTTGTGTTTTCTATATTTAGATCATGACAATGATTGTGGTTTGTTTATTTTTTTTTATCTTTCTTTTTTTGTTTTTAATTAAAAAATTTATTTTTTATGATTTTTCAAGGAGATGGATCAGATGAACCTGCTTCATGTGGTAAGAATCTGTTTATTTTTTATTTCATTGTAACTTTTATTTTTTAAATAGCGTCACAATATCGAAATTGTACTAATACAGAATATCGATGTGAAAATGGACGATGTGTATCAAAATCATCGACATGTAATGGATAGTACGTAATATGTGTAGTTTTTTTATTGCGAAAATAATTGTTAATATATATATATATATTGTTTTTTCCTTTAGTAATGATTGTCATGATAATTCAGATGAAAAACCATCATTATGTCAAGCAGAACAATGTCCATCTGGACAATTTCAATGTCAAAATAAAGAATGTATACCATATGAAGTTGTTTGTAATGGTGTAAGAAATTGTACTGATGGAAGTGATGAACCAGCTAGTTGTGGTAAGAATTTAAAAGAAAAATTCTCGTTAGTTTTTATTTCGATTATGTTTATTTCTTTTAAATATAGGTGTTAATGAATGTGCTTCATCAATTTTAAGTGGTTGTGAACATGGCTGTGTTAATACATTAACTTCTTTTCGATGTATATGTCGAACGGGTTATAAATTAGCACCAAATCAAAAAAATTGCTGGGGTAAGGCTTTTATATATCAAGAATTGATCGATCAATTGTTTTCTTGTCTAAATTTTCAATGTTTTATCTAGAGAAAATTTTTTTGGTTTTTATTGAACAAAAAATACAATAGGACACAGATTTAACCGGTGCCGGTTCCATCCTTGAAATAGAAACTGACGCATACATTGACTTATGAGGAAATCATTCGAAACGTCACCCGCTGTTTGAGCATACAAGGATGCCATGGTGAAACTAGCAAAATTTTTTAATGAGTTCGTTTTCAATAAGCCTTGGGAGACTGATTCGATTCGTTTTACTAGATTTTCGATCCAGGTTTTGCATATATACCGGAAAATCAAAAACCAATGTCGACCTGAAAATTTACCCATATATATATATAGGTCTAATGATCCGTAGCGTATTCAGAAAGTTTCAACCGACAAGAACGTTATATTTTGTTGAGATATTCAATTTTCAAGTTAATTTGTTATTTAAATGATGATTGTGGGAAACGATTATTTTTTTTTTGGAAACTCGATATGTCAACAAAAGAGAAGTCGTTTCGGCTGAAACTTTCAGGATATTTTACGGATCATTTGGATGAAGCATAAGCAAAGTCTCAGATCAACATTCTGGTATTTCATTTTTCAGTATGTATGCAAGGCCTATGAAGACAAAAGCTTTTAGGATTTTTCTAGCCTTACAAAAAGCTCATTATGGACCTCAGATGAGCGAAAACGGCTCGTATCAGTTCGTATGGTTAACTCGTTAGTGAGAATTCAATATTTGCTCAAGTTATCGGCAAGTTTTTCGATGATTGCTGAAATATATCATTGTAGGTATGGGTTAAAAAAGTGAGTGAGAATCACCTCAATTGGAATTGGTCTATCCAATGGAGGCCAATATACTTTAATTAAGAACTAACGAAAGTCGATGTAGATATGTTAATCTCCCTTAATATTTGGTATCCTTTAATGATTAAATTAAAATTTCACAGAGCAGAAACTTTTACGCAGCATGAGATAATACGTCTAACAGGATATGTAGAGGATAAATATGGATTCAATCATAGCTATTACAATAGGCTTCGATATTCATATTATTGTTCGTATCTGTAATAGCATGCTTACTAAGTGTATTGCTTTGATTCGTATAGGTTTTGAAGTAGCACGATTGTAGTTTTTAAGTTTTCATTTGTTATTTTTAACATCGTGTCGAAATCATCGAAGTTGTTTTCTAAGACATATAATGTCAGTATGATGTTCACCAAGATTCCTTCGTGTAAGAAAAAAAACAAATTTACACTCTTCGTAGATATTATGCTTAGAAAAAAAAAGAGAAAATAACTTTTCTAAATTGAAAATTCCAAATTTAATTGATATTTAGATATCAACGAATGTGTTGAAACTCCAAGTGTTTGTCAACAATTTTGCGAAAATATACCAGGTATAACATATTTCATATTATATGTTTTCATAAACTTTTTTTTTTACTATTAGGCACTTATATATGCAAATGTGCACCTGATTATGAAAAAGGTCTTGATGGACGTAGTTGTAATCGATTAAATCGTATGTTCTTGCTTTTTTTTTCAACGTTGAGATAACAAAATTGATTTCTGTTTTATTTAGGAACCATTGTTCCATATGTATATTATACAAATAGATATTATGTTCGTGCTATTGGTCTTGATGAACAAAATGAATTAACTGTTTCACGTGGTTTTATGGAGTTATCAAGTATAACATATGATTGGAAAGATCAAAAATTATATATAGGTGATCGAGTGGCTGGTAAAATTTATCGAATGAATTTTAATGGAACACAATCAACAGTTATAATAGAAGATAATCAAATACGTTATCTACGAGCATTAGCTATCGATTGGATTGGACGAAAATTATATCAATTATTGAGTACACCAGAAATTCGTGTTAGTGAATTAGATGGTCGCTATGGTATAACATTACTTGATTCAAGATATTTATCACAACCAAATTATCTTGCTATTGATCCATTAGTTGGTTATTTATTTTATTCAGATTGGGGACAAGCACATATTGGAAGAATTAATTTAGATGGAAATAATTTTGTTAAAATTATTGGTACAGATGTAGCTGGACCATTAGGTTTAACAATTGATATTATTACTCAAAGAGTATTTTGGATCGACAGACGTTTACAAAGATTAGAGTATGTTGAGATTTTTTAGTAAAAAAAAAAACAATTTCTTAGTTTTCATAGCATAGAAATCTATGATATAGTTATTATTAACAATAAAGTAAAGGATATAATAAGCAATAAGTTAAATCCATTTACAAGATCGAGACTATGTGTATTATGTAGATTCAAACGAGTTTTGAATATCGAAATAAGAGTTCGAAGCCTTAGCCCTTATTGCTAAGTAGATATTGCAAATTTACGGTAGTTTTTAAATATTCTCCTCAGGAACATCAGAAAAAGTGATTTTTGAATTTCAACTTGAAACTTTATATAAAGACAGACTTTTTTGATTTGCTTCTCTTCGGAAATCAGAGTATCGAATTTACCGTTATATATAAGTGACTTAAAAGACACACTTTTACCACAGCTGTATCTTAAGTGACTCACGATTATCATGCTATGGTGATGACTGGACTACAGTTATGTTCGTTAAAATAGCTATACATTCTACATTTCTGTTAACTGGTTAGATGTTCCAAAACACAAATGACTTCATCTTTTTTTTCCGCATAAGTCCAATATCTGTAATTACTTTTGTACACAATAAGTGATGTGCATAAATCATTATAATTTATATTTTGAACAATAATAATGACCAACTTTAGATCTATAATTCTTGTCGTTTTGTTTTGAGAGGTTAATCAGAAATATCTCTTGTGGAAATTAATTATATTAGATTTCTGTATGAAAACATTTTTTTAGTTGCAGCTGAATCGCCTATCGTTCATTTGATCGAATAGTTTTTTTTTTTAATATTAAATTAGTCTTGATCAGGCGCCGTGTATGTATAAAAGAGGTTCCTCTAAATGGCAAAGACTTGTGATTAAGAATAATTTCTAGAATCCATTCTCATGTTTCATTGATGTTTGAGATTATGATCAACATGTACTCCATAAATGCCTTTTTGTATGGAAACAGGTATTTGAACATGATTACAGATTAACAAATTCATATTTCTTATGATCGTGATATTGTATCGCCGTAAGTTTTCTCCTTTTGTGATCAGAGATTTACGTAAAGAGGTCCTAACACACTAAAACCAAATTTTGTGTGTGTGATTGTAACAAAAACTTCGTAAATCATTTTGTCTTGTGCTCCTGCGAGGAACATTTAAAAACTACCGTAAAAGTGCAGTATGTCGGCAGTCATAAGTGCTAAGAATTCGAAATATTTTCTGTATATTGAAAACTCATTTGGTTTTACATGATGTGCGTAGTCTTGATTCAAAAGCTATTTATCAGTTCTCCAAGAGCTCGATTTTGATTGTAGTATTAGTTGCAAATATATTTCTTTATTCAATTCGATGAATATTCTCTAAACCATCAGTATCAATTAAAAAATGTAATACTTTATTTTATATAGATTCAGTAATTATAATGGTGGCGAACGTAAAATAGCATTTTCTGGTCATGATTATGTTCCATATTCACTCAGTGTTAGTTTTATTGATGGTTATGTTATATGGTCTGATTTTACAAATCATTCATTAATTCGTGCTGATGCATTGAATGGTTCAAATAAACGTGTACTTCTACCGAATACAATAAATGAAGTTGTAGCTCTTACTATTGTTCATCCATCATTACAACCGCAAAGTAAAAAAGACAAAAAAGAAATACTCGTGAAATATTCGATTTTGTTTTTTCTTTCATTTAATTTAAAGTTCCTAATCCATGTGGAATAAACAATGGTGGTTGTTCACATTTATGTTTATTATCAGTAAATCAATCATATACATGCGCATGTCCTGAACATTTTTCATTTATTAATAATGGAAATAATCGAACATGTGTATCAAATTGTAGTTGTAATCAACATCGCTGTGGTCCACCGAATGAACGATGTATACCATGGCCAGCAAAATGTAATGGAGGTAAGTATAGATCTTTTATTTTGTGCAGTTAGAGAACTACTTTTGGTTTCTATAGTTAATGATTGTGAAGATGGATCTGATGAACCTAGTACATGTCCACAACGACAATGTTCACCAACACAATTTCAATGTCGAAATCAAAATTGTACACCTATTTCATATGTTTGTAATGGTAGGAGAAAAATTTTTGTGTTTTTATTTTAATTTTTTGTATATGATTTGTTTTCTCCAATAGGAATGGATAATTGTGGTGATAATTCAGGTAGAAATTGGTTTTGAAAGAAGAAAAAAAATGAAATATGTCTGTGAATGCTTTAGATGAAGAAAATTGTGAATGTCGTTGTATGCCAGGCACATTCCGTTGTAATTCTGGTTCATGTTTACCAATGGTTAGTATAGTTTTCAAAGCAAAAACAAAAGAGATAACAATTATTAATATATATATTCTTTTTGTTTCTAGAGATTTCGTTGTGATGGTTATCGACAATGTTCTGATGGTAGTGATGAATTAAATTGTAGTAATCGTACATGTACTCATTATCAATTTACATGTACTAATGGACGATGTATACCAGAATCATACGAATGTGATTTAGATAATGATTGTGGTGATAATAGTGATGAAAATGCATATTTTTGTCGTAAATTATTTTTCATTGATTTACATAATTTAGAAAAACAAAATTATTAAATTTTGTTTTTGAAGGTAATCGACCTTGTCGTGAAGATCAAGTTCGTTGTCCAAATTCGTATAAATGTATTTCACAAACAGCACGTTGTGATGGATACAATGATTGTCGTGATAATAGTGATGAAAATCCAAATCAATGTCCACCATGTCATGATGCAAATCATTTTCGATGTAATAATGGACAATGTATTCCAAGAAGTTTTCAATGGTAATTTACAGAATATTCATTTGTTATATTATGTGTAAAGAAGAAGTTTGACTATAGGATATCTTAAGTAAATTTCTTTTGTTTTCTTGTTGAGAAGAAAAGTTTACAGATATGGTCTGATCCTTTGAACTTTAAATAGAACAAACGGAAGATCGACGGATGCTTCAGATGTATCAGAATTAGGAAACCAATGTATATTTATTTTTTCATTTATTATTAGCATTCTTAGCCCTAGGAAATAGACAATTAAACTTTATGACTGTAGATGGTAAAGGCGTTTACTACTAAAAAAAAAAAGAATTATTCAATGCGAAGTGGGTTGTTGATTCTCGATGGTTTACCATTGAGCCAACGCATCATATTCGTTTAACTTTTTATTATACTTGCACTTGTCTGTTGCTCTAAAAGATTTATCAGTTTATTGTTGTGCCTAACGATTAATATTTATCCATTGATAATAGATACCTTAATCAGGTTTTCATTTGATATGTTACAAATGGATCTTAACACAAAAATTTGCGACATTTTTCTCATAATCTCCTTCGTGTGACTTGAATTATTGTAGTTGTTGACTAGAAAATAAAAGTTGTTTTTAAAGTTCTTTATCTTGTTTTAATGATTCACTATGTTGTTAATTATTATTTTCTTGCTAGTTTTCGTATTTTCAGTAACAATCATATTGTAATGCTGTTAGACGTACATTTATTTTCAACAGAGTTAGTCTTTTTTTCTGCTCCAAAACGTCTGACAAAATCAAAAGACAATCCACATTACCTTTCATCATTTTGAAGAAAATTCTTTTCAGATTAAATCAACAAGTTTAGCAGTATTTTTCTTTTTATATTGAAAGCCTTCATATCATCGATTGACGATCAATAATATACTTTTGAGAAAGAACACTTATTCAAAATATTTTACCATCGAAGATGACTAGTGATTAATCACAGATTCCTGTTCACTTCATATTAAAAGAATTAGTTGAACAGTTTGTACAGTTCGAGCTAGAATAGAATTTGTCAACATCTAAAAGCGGTCACGTTTGCAATAATCGATCAAACAGAATGCTCTTTATACATAGCAAAAGAGTTCTGATTTTGCTTCATAGTTAGTTTGAGAAAGACTTGATTTGCTCTCATATTTCGGAAAAAAATTAACAAGTTTGAAGTATATATTGGTTCTTTCGGATTTTTACTAGTAAAAATAATATAAGTTTTCATGTGCTAGAGAGATAAAGAAAGCATCCCTTGCAGGTTGATGGTTTTTTTTGTGATCATAATAGTTTAAAATGAACGATAATTGAAGATTTGATCAAAAGAAACGTTTTTGTTTACTGACATATCTTCGTAGAGTTATGAATTTTCTCTTTATATTTTTCATTTTTTTGAAAATATTAATAAAATGACAAATAATCTAGTATAAATAAGTGTTCGAAAAATTTCATTCATTAATTTTTATTGATATTTTATATTTATTCTGTATTAAGTAATCATCGAAATGATTGCCGTGATGGATCAGATGAAAATCCAGCAATATGTAGTAAGTTATTGCAAAAACAAAAAAAAAACAATTTCTATTTATTTGTTTATTCGATTTCTTTTTTTCAGTCGATACTTATCGTCAATGCAGTGAAGATGAATTTCGATGTTCGAATGGTCGATGTATTCCACAACGATGGTTTGAGAAAAATATTTATTAGAATTCAAAAATTTATATAACAGTTGTTTTTCCTTAATTTTAGGGTGTGCAATCATGATAATGATTGTGGTGAAGGTGATACATCGGATGAAGCTGTTGATTGTCGTAAATAATTTTCGTGTTCAATGTAAATCTGTTGTTTTAAAAAGATCAAGATATGTTTTAGCTTCTGAACCATGTCAGAATGGATACTTTAAATGTGCATCTGGCCATTGCGTAAGGAATACAAGTCGCTGCGATGGTTATCTTCAATGTCGGGATGGTTCGGACGAAATGGGTTGTTCAACACCTTGTCCAGCACACCGTTTTACTTGTAACAATACTCTTTGTATCAATAAGAACTGGGTTTGTGATGGAGGTAGGACATTTTGCCGATGGTTGTCTTGTCTTATTGAATTATAACAAAAATATTTTTATTTTAGATAATGATTGTCTTGATAATAGGTAATAAATAAAGAAAAGAAACAAGAATAATATATTAACATATTTTCTGCTTCTTCTTTTGTTTTTTCTATTTAGTGATGAAACCATGGAATTATGTCGCCTAGTACCTTGCAATTCAAGCCATCATTTTCGGTATTAGATTTTCTTTTCTGTTTTCTTGTGGATAAAAGCACAATTTTTGTGAAACACGATCCTAACGAGTAGTTGAATTATAAGAGTAAAAATTTGACAGTACTCCGAAAAACGTGTTCCATAATGTCTAATTATGATTGTCGCCTTTCCCAACTGATTTGCCACAATTTAGTTTTGTCGATGTTTGGTCCATTTGTAGTGTTCATAACACGAACCATGACTAACAAGTGACTATAAGAATAATGAATATAAGGATTAGAAAGCTGTTTGCATTGTAGAATAGCTTGTAAGTTTTAATTGCATATAGTTATCTCACAAAATACGAGTCTTATGTATATTTATATACTCTAAACTGGTATTATTATCTTCATTGTAAATTAAGAACAAGTGCAAGATATACCTTCATTGTGATATACGAACTACATTAGTTTCTTATTACATTTTGTGGAGAATTGAAGATAATCATATGTATCATCAAATAGATAGAATAAGACAATCCTCTTTGATTAGCCACAGTAGCTGCATCATGTTTTAAGTCGGATGAGTTCGAAATTTTTGGACTCGAATCCATGGGATTTAAATCGTGTTTAGTATTTCAATTTCGCAGAATTGTACTGACGACTTTCTATTTAAAGATGTACAAATGGTCGATGCATCTATCGATGGCGTATGTGTGATCATATAGATAATTGTGGAGATGGTAGTGATGAAGATATTCATGGTGTATGTCAACCAAATCGGCCAGTAACATGTCCAGAATTTAATTGTACACATACAAATCGTTGTATACGATATTCAGATTTATGTGATGAAAGTAAATAACGATAAACAAATAATGTATTCTTATTTGTGTATTTTTAATTTAATTATTTAGTCGATGATTGTGGTGATGAATCCGATGAATTATCATGTAATGATACAATGACATGTAATAGTACAAATAATTGTGATCAAAGATGTCACGATTTACCAAATGGACGAGGAATTGTTTGTTCATGTAATACAGGTTATAAATTGAATAAAGAATCATTTAAATGTGAAGATATAAATGAATGTGAAAATGTTACATTAAACTATTGTTCACAAAAATGTCTCAATACTAAAGGTGGTTTTCGATGTGGATGTGCAGCTGGTTTTGAACCCAGTGCTGTTAATAGATCAGATTGTCATCCAGCAGGTATCTGTTTGTGATTCATTATTAGTAAAGTTTTACCGTTAATGTAATTACAAGATGCTAACTAACGAAAATTTTATTAGAAAAAAAAATAGTTTTACCGTCTATCCTGCTTCTTTTTTCTTGGATATTTCTATAGTAAAATTTACCATTACCTATTGATAGTATATAAAATTAATTTCTTTTGAAATTGACCATCTTCGTAAAAGATTTAAAGGGAAATACAAATTCATACGATTATTTTCTCTAATCGCAATATTGAGAAAACGAAATTGTGTATTTCTTTGATCGTATTATATTGAATTCTATTGATTTTTTAGTGTATTCTCTAACGTTGTGCCGTTGAAATTTTCTCAAAAACTAATATTTTTATTTATTATTCGGTTTTTTTTCTTTTATTGTACAGAACAAACAATTGATCTTCTCATATCTGAACCCGATGAAATTCGTCGTCTTCGTCGAAATACTATAGAAAATGTATCCCATTATGGTGTACTTATTGAAGATCAACATGCTGTTAGTTTTATTTCTATTGATACAAATAATCGTATATTCTATTGGATTGATGACTCTACATCAGAAATTTATCGTGCACATCTTACACCGAATGCAATATCCACAGCATATCCTCAAGCACTTCTACCAGAAGATGCGAATCAATTAATAAATCCAAGTAGTATTGCTATTGATTGGATAGGTCAAAATCTTTATGTTACTGATATTATTCATGGTTGTATATGGCTTTTAAAAAATGATGGACGTTATGCAACTAAAGTAATAACAGATATTGAATCACCATGGGTTGTTGCTGTTAATCCAATACTCGGAATACTTTATTTTATTAATTATGAACATGGACCTATGGATAATTCAGATGAACGTATTGTTGCTATTGAATCAGCTTATATGAATGGTGAAAACCGTACAATATTAGTTGACACGGATATAGAATATCCAACGGACTTAGTTATTGATTTTTATCAAAATTATCGTGTTTATTGGACAGATGAAAAAAAAGAATCAATTGAATCAATGAATTATGATGGAACAGATCGTCTTGTTATAGCACATATTGGAGTACATGCACCACATTCATTAGATGTATTTGCAAGTCATATATATTGGATTAATCGAAATAATCGTTCATTGTACATGATTGAAAAATTTGGACGTGGAGTATCAACACTTGTTATTGATAAATTAGAATTACCTTTATTCGCACGAATTTATCATCCATTGAAACAACTTCAATCAGGTTTATATTTGAACAAAAAACCAATAAATAAAAAAAAATACTAAATTTTGTTTCTTTTCTTTTAGTATCAAATCCATGTGCATCAGCTAATTGTTCGCATTTATGTGTTTTGAAATCATCAAATCAATATCAATGTTTATGTCCATTTAATAAAACAATTCAAGAAGATAGTCGAACATGTAATGCACGTATGTATTTAAACATTGAAGAAAAATAAGAATAGCAAGAATTTTCTTTCTTTTTTTTCGCTACAGCATTTGTTACTGAACCTGTAGGTCCTTTACAATGTAATTGTGTATATGGTAAATGTGTTTATCATGTTGATGAAAATGCTGATCATCGAATAAATGGGTGTCTTTGTTTCAAAGGTAAATTGAATAAATATGGAAAGTATATTAATAAAAGTTTTATCTTTAAGGTTATCATGGTGAATATTGTGATATAAACTATCCTCCACCTCCTCCACCTCCTCCACAGTGGTTAAAAATTGTTATTATTGCATTAGTTAGTTTATTATTAATTGGTATTCTTACGTTTGGTTTGAGTCAATTGAAACGTAAAGGAAAGTAAGTTGTTGACATAAATTGTCAATCCCTAACGAACGAATTTATTTAAAATGTTCTCATTCGATTATAATAATTCTTTTTGCCTATAATTACTACATTAAAGACTTGAGTTTTGATTAAAGAAAGAATATCTCAAGATGATTAAAAACTTTCGAATCCATATTTTATCCAATGCTAAGGAATACATAGATTAGAAGAGGCACCAAAGGAGTCATGCGGACTTTACCATTTGATTGGTATATTAACTTTTTAGTGGATTATCCTTTCTGCGGATTCACTGTTTTTCCAGATCTTAAAGCAACAATAGGATATTATCGAAAAATTGGGTTCCTAAAGGAACGATCCAATAAAACATCAACAGGTCAGCCAAATCTTCACATCAGTAGGAAATCTTTGGAGCCAGTTTTATTTTGTAGGCCTCCTAATATTGAAAACATAATATCAGATGCTATAAAAAAACATAAACTGAGAATTTTTCAACAGATGAAGTTTGCAAAAAATTCATGTAGTATATTCTGTCTCTCAAAAATGATCTACACATTGAAGAAACTTTATGCAAAACATTTGAATTGTTTTCATAAAAGCCTAGTCTAGTTGAGTGCTATACATACGTAAAGTTCGAGATTCAAATTTGAAAATTTACGAAAGAACTCCTTCAGATGTCCAATCGGTTTTCGACCGAGGCAATGTTCATTTGATGAGCACTAGTGAATAATAAAAAATCTTAAACAGTTTAGTTTTTCAAGGCTTCGTTCTTCAAAAGCATCGAAGTTTTATCAGATTTTTCAGAAAAAGTCTATAGTTTCCTCAGATTATGTGAATTTCGGCTTCAAAATTTACACAGATAAAATTCTCACTGAGTTCAGTTCATGAAACAAGCTGCAGATTCTTTGACGTCTCTAATCCTCAGAGCTGCAAATATTCGAAAGTCTCTCATATGTAAAAATATATTTTATTCAGATATATTTATATCTCGAGACAGGAAATACTAGCTGTAAAGTCAATAGATCTCAACTAGGACTTTATTTGTAGAAATATTAAAGTCGATATGTTAATATAGCTTGATAAAGATCACAACTATTTCTTGAAAACTTAATAAAATTTCAATATCTTGATAACAAAGATCCAGTAAATCAAACCATTCTAGACTTCTCAATTACTTACTAGTAATTATCAAATAAATATTATTTTGATCGACAACTGATTTGACACTTGAATCAATACTCTCATTAATCGAAATACATAAAAATACATGTATTTTTTTTTCGTTAGATTACCATCGATTGCAACTTCACCATTACCATCGCGTGTTCGAACAGCAATGAACAATGTGCGTAATTTTATTACACGTTCAACCGATAATATAAATACAGTTTTCTTTCCAAATGCTCAATCTACTGCAGTACGAGATCTGTCAATAATTGTAAAAAAAAATATAGATTTTTGTTTTGTCATTTTTAAGGAACCAGCAGTAGTATTTCCAAATCCAATGTATGCTGCAACATTAACAGCATCTAATCAACCAGCTCAATTGACGACATCATCTGACGAACCTGCTAAATTAAATGTTAAAGTTCGGTCAGCTCCATCAAAGCCAAGTCGTAAAGGTTTCTATTTTTGATCTTTCATTTTTTTTTCTATTTTATTGTTTTTACATAGGTACTCCTGCATCTCCTCTTCGTCAACAAGTACATTTTGATCCCCAAAGCAAAGATACTGATCACGATAAAGCTAATTTAGTTGTACGAAGTAGTGGCGGCGATGCATAATAATCATTTTTTGCTTTTTCTATCACGTATATAAATATATCTAATTTATTATATCACAATCCAGCATAAATTTTCATTTTTATCCTTTCAAATGATTGTTTTATTAACCATGTAATGATAAAAAAAGCAAAATAAAAAAAAATATTTCAAGATTTACAATGAAATAGATTCTAGAAAAAAATATATGAAAATGAATTTTATATATGTATTATAATCCAGTGCATTAAACAATGTCAGTAAATTTAAAAGATGAGTTTTAAGCAGAATATAAAGGCTGAAAATAAAACACAAGTTGACTTCAATTAAATCAATCAAGAGTTTTTTTCTTGGATGTGGGTGTGGGTGTGGATTGTGGATGTAAATAGAAGAAGCATACTCACACCCACACCCTATTTATCCACTCCTCGCCATCATCTGAAACCTGCTTCCTTAAAAAAGTTTTTTAAACTGCTTTTGAGATTTACCAATTTTTTGGACTAGAACTATAAGAGATAAAATGTAAACCATATGGTTCGATAGAGCAGTCGATGCTCTATCTAACTGTATCAAAATAAGATACTTTCGATGTTTTACATGAATACAGCAAGCTACACAAAACTATTAAAAATAACGTAATCACCCTGTATATGAAACTTTTAGATTATATGAGGACCCTATGCGGTACAGCTGCTATATCTGGAATCTCTTTCAGTAGAGTTGTATCAGTGTGATCTTCAGAAACTATTGAGCACAACATATTAATATGATTCATCAATGATGTATTACAGATCCTTATGTGCGTTCTGAATTCTGGAGGCCATCAATTCATATTTATTTACCTAGTCTTTGAATCGAACTGCTCCTGTAGACTGTTGCTAATAGCGACCAGTACTATTAATATTATTTATATTCTTGGCGATTAATAGACACAATTACATCGAATAAAAAATCATTTTTTATAAATGTAATTCAGTAAAAAATAGAAAATAAAAGTAAGTAAGTTTTCTTTCTCATCGAACGAAACAACGATGGCTGAAGAGTATGATTCAAATATGTTTGCAAATAAATGCTTCACATTGACAACAAATTATACATTTACATCTTTCATTCATTCCTTATCAGCATGTCGTTTTACGTATGTCATGTGAAGGCACTATCTGTTAACGTCATAAACACCTACCTTTGATGAATTCTCAATAGTAAAATCAAACGACATAAATACTGGGTAACAATACTCAATGACAAAAAATTACTGACATAAACATTTTCTTTATCATGGCTACTTCTTGTTCAACAGCAACACACAAGCTCACATTTCGTTACTATGAAATTCGCCAGAGAATTTTTGATGACTTCAAAATCAAAGATCAGTCAGGACAAACAGTGTTTTACGCTCGATCAAAGCATCCTATATTTGGTGATAAATTCGTTATTGAAGATTTAAATGGACGGTAAGTGTGACTGAATTCTTGTCAATCATCAATTATTTTGTAGTTGCTTGAAAATCAACTCAACACTGATTTAAATTACTTTTGCCCATGAAATGACGAAATTTTTTTTCTCTGAATCTTGGCAAAGAGACTAGATGAATAGTTGTTGTTCTTCTTTGTAGTCCACTGATCCAAATTCGAAGTGAACCTTTGTTCCATAACAACTTTGACATTTACGCTTATACGTCTAATGTCTCAAAAGAACATCTTGCAACGATTACTAGAACATCTGTCTTGAAACGTAATTTCACTATTCAAACGACCTACGGTCAATATAGACTGAAACAAGAAAGTCTGCTCAGTCTTTCATATCTTCTGACGAAAAACAATGGTCAAGATACGGTGGCCATGATTGAACGACATGGTGGTTCGTTGATGGATACATTTACAGTAGGAGTCGTGGAGAATAAACAAGAAAATCATGCCTTTATTTTGTCTATGATCATTGCTTTACATTGCACATCCCATGACTAGAATCTTCTATGATAAATTGCGAATTGAAAGGTGTCAATAACATTTTTGTAATATATGGAATGTCGATATACTTTTTGGGTGCGGGTGTGGGTGTGGTTGTGAATGTGGGTGTGTGTGGATGTGAATGTGATTTACGATTCGTTCACACCCATACCCGCACACCCCAGACCCACACCCACTATGATCTATTGGTGTATCTGGATCGTTTTCTGAAAATTAGCCTTCTACTACGAGAGAAAGACTTGATAATAAATCATGCGCAAATAACTTATTATAATTCATAAACCAGATAGATTGTAATATATTATTGACGAATGACTATCCTTTACCCTAAATTGTGGTACTCTGAACATATTCCTAAATTCAATCCGCATTTATGGATAATGAAATCGGAAAAGTGAAAACCGGTAACCATGTAGGGATTTTGATTTAGGGATTTTTACATTTAGGGGGTAATTCCATGGGATGTCTACCACAAAAAACACAAAGTGTTTTGATTCTTTTATTTTCTATCAGATTTTGTAGAGAATTTTTCGCTGATCATTTTAGTAAAAAAAACTTCGAACTTGACCCATAAATAAGGACATTATTGTCAAAATACTAAACAATGACTTTGTATGTTTAAAATACCATGTTTTTCAGTATTTTAACCCTACTAATTTTATTTTTCGGTCAACCCAAGAAAATGTTTTTATGAAAATGATCAGCATGAAAAGCTCTACAAGATGGACTATATTAATTTTGTTTTTAAAGTCTATCTGCATGGTCTTTTCTATTGACATTCTTGAAACAACGAGAGAAAAAGTCGAACGTAAAATCTCAAAATGGCTATATTCTGAAGAGAGATGGCATATATGGTTTTGTAGAGCGAAGTTTGCTCTACAAAACCTTATATTTAGTTTTTCATTTAAAGTCGAAAAGCTTGCGTAAATCTTGACAGAACGTTATGAATAGCATTTCTCATAAAGTTAGGGTTACCCATTTGATGGCGTTTTAGATTTCATTTGTTTGACCCAATAATCATACTGAATAACTATTTTACTAAAAGAATATGAGTAAGCAATGCTACAAGAATTCTTTTTAAGAACTATTTGAAGTGTATCGTGGACTCTTGTGACATCATATAATATTGAAAAATAGTCTCATTTCGCTGGAGGCTGTGTAACTTGGACTCGATGATGAATCATAACCAGAATCATTATAGAGGATTCGTATTGTAAGTGGGTTTCAATGTTTATCAAGAACACGTGGGTATATTCATCGTTCTAATCATTACTTGTATAAAATTTGTTGCTTACGAAATATTACTTGAAGAAATCTCAAGTATGCCTTATCGAACGAAAACTTGGTGTCCTCACCCAGTACACAGAAATTTGACTCAATTAGGTTCGAAGCCAACACATCCTAAAGATGTACGAATTATCAATGCGGTACAAGCTGATATATTTAATAAAAAGATTGTATCTAATTCGGAATGGACTTCATTGATTTTGAAGACGGGTGATAAAGTATGTCAAACATGTTATAGTTCCTTACCAGACGTTGCAAATGACTCATTTGATTTGGAAAAGATGGATATTGAATTTGCAAATCAAATCACTGCAGATTCTATGAGCGACGATTCCGAAAACTCTGATTCCACATCTATTGAAGAAAAGTATCACACAAAACAATTGGCGAAGGAAGAACTTAATGTGGTGTTTGAAGTACTTAAGATGGAAAAAATTCGCGACGAGTAAGTTTTCTGTGGCTTTCTAATCAGAAATCATTGTTTATTCATCATAGTCGTCGAGTCAAAAAAATTCGGGAACAAGTCGACGACGTTTATCAATATCTTCGCCGCTTATGTGACATACTGGAAGATAAAAATCCTCAAATACATGATCCAAATCCACATTCTCTTGAAATTGACGAATCAAACGACTTTTTACATGGGGTGAAAGAACTTTTCAAACAGAGTACCGACGATGAACAAATCCGTTTAATGACAATTGCCCCAGCAAACTGGGGCCGCATTATCCTCTCCCAATGGTTTGGATCCAGTGAGCATCAAGCACGACAAGCTATTTTACTTCGTCGAGAAAGAAACGTTCTTGCTTTTCCAGAATATTCTCGAGGAAAAAAAACCTCTTGATGATGATACAGTTCAACTGGTCGTACAATTCTATTTGCAAGATGGTATAAGCCGCGTTTCATCGAATACAAAGGATGTACTTAAGATAAAGAATGAACTTGTACCTGTTCGATTTATGTAAATGTTAATTCAAGAGGCTTTACGAAAATTCTATAATGGATATCCAAATTTCAAAGTTGGTAAATCAATGTTCTATTCTCTTAAACCTCGTCAAATTAAAATATCCTCTCCATATGATACGTGAATATGTCAATCTCATGAGAATATGAGTCTTTTACTACACGTAAGTCTAACCATTAATTAGAAGCATCGAACACTACAAACATGTATTTGTTTCATTGTTTTGAAGGCATTAAATAATTATTTACAGAAAAAATCTTCTGTAGATAATCGGCTAAGCAACATTACTGTTTCAAATTTGATCGACTTAATGGATTGGAATATTCCTGCTGAAGATTGTTTTTTGGCTGTTTGTGATCAATGCAATGATAGATCTCCATCATTAATTCTTAAGGGTCAGTTCAATACGATTGATGAAGATGATAAATGGTCATGGTCACCATGGAAGACAACTAATAAAAAGGTTGATTTTAATCAAATTTGTGGAACAATTACATCATTACTCAACGAAATTGATGAAAAGTGGACAATATTCTTATTACATAGTTATTCCAATCGAGAACAGCGTACTTACATCAATGATCTTCGACTGAGATCTAGCAATTCATCGTATGTGGTTGTGCAGCTCGATTTTGCTGAAAATTACACGTTTATCAGACAAAAAAAGAGGTACAGGCGGCACATTGGAACAACCAACAAGCCACGTTATTTACTATTCACATTAAAATCGGAGACAGTCACAAGAATATAGTGGTGATCAGTAATTATATGCATCATGACACAGCGTTCGTATATTGTTCTCAACGTCTCATTGTCGAGTTTATTAAAAAACGTTATCCTCACGTCATCAAAATTAACTATTTGAGGTATTTCGTAACATTAAAATATTCAATTAAAAATTTTTCTTTGTTGTAGTGATGGTGCACCAGCCCATTTTAAAAATCATCTGAGTATGATAAATTTAATGCATCATAAGGATGATTTTAATATAGAAGCATGTTGGACCTTTTCTGCCACTGGACACGGCAAGGGACCTTGTGATGGCATTGGGGCTACAGTTAAGTCGAGCGCCAGTCGATCAATACTTATGTCTGGTACAATAATTTCAACTGTGGACGACTTCTATTATTTCACAAAAAAGTTTAACGATGACGCTGCACAAGTAAACAACACAAATGAACCACCTGTTCATGTTTACTTGTTGAAGCGTGATGTTGTGAAATGTGCCATAAAAGATGTACTTACGCATCGATGGAAACAACTAAACGGTAAAAATTCACATTATTTTTCACAGCAAATAACATGAGGATATTATTTATTAGGACGAATCAAGGGCATTCGCTCGTTTCATCAGTTTGATCCAGGCAACGATGGTATTATTCAATGTCGTAGAACATCAAACTCTCTTGATATCCATCTATTTAAACTTAAGAACGGTGATATGGATGAGGACAAAAGATCTTCTTTACGACAAGTTAATACATTAACAGATATTTCTATACATGATTTCGTTATTTTGGAGCGTGACGAAAAACGATACCTTGCTCAAATCATTGAAATCAATCAATTGCAGCAAGAAGTAATGGTCCAATGCTACAAACTACCGTTTCCACACCAGTCAGATCTTACTGTCTTTACAAAAATGGGAAACAAGTTAAATGTCGATTGGCAAGATGTAATCGCATCTCTCATTGTCAAACCAGTTATTGGTAGACGAAGTCAACTTTCGTTATCGAAAGAGCAGCTCATTGACATTCAGAATTTTTGCAGATGATCATTTACATGAACCATTCTGCAATCACGTAGAGATGATCAACAAGAAATGCAATAAAATTGAACCAACTCCGTTTGTAAAAAAATTTTAAGAGATAAGATGCGTCATTCTACCGAATCCGTCCAATAGAAAAGACCTTTACTATCATTAAGATTCATTTAATATCAATATGTGCTTCATCATTGCTTACTCATATTCTTTTAGTAAAATAGTTATTCAGTATGATTATTGGGTCAAACAAATGAAATCTAAAACGCCATCAAATGGGTAACCCTAACTTTATGAGA